GCGATCTCGGCTTACTGCAACCTTCATCCACCTCCAGGGTTCAAGTGATTGTCCTGCCTCAGTCTCCCGAGTAGCTGGGACTATAGGCGCGTGCCACCATGCCCGGCTAATTTTTTTGTATTTTTAGTTTCACCGTGTTAGCCAAGATGTTCTTGATGTCCTGACCTCGTGATCCGTCCGCCTTGCCCTTCCAAAGTGCTGCGATTACGCCCGGCCGGTCTCTGTTGTTGTTGTTGTTGTTGTTGTTGTTTTGAGACTCCGTTGCCCAGGCTGGAGTGCAATGGTGCAATCTCTATCTCAGCTCACTGCAACCTCTGCCTCCTGGGTTCAAGCAAATTCTGCCTCAACCTCCCGAGTAGCTGGGACTACAGGCACTCACCACCATGCCCAGCTAATTTTTGTACTTTTAGTAGAGACGGGGTTTCACCATGTTGACCGGGATGGTCTTGATCTCTTGACCTCGTGATCCACCCGCCTCGGCCTCCCAAAGTGCTGGGATTATAGGCGTGAGCCACCGTGCCCGGCCCTACCAAGTTCTTAAAACAGGCAGGTCACTGGCTGGGTGTGTTGGCTCATACCTGTAATCCTGGCACTTTGGGAGGCCGAGTCAGGTGGATCTCTTGAAGTAAGGAGTTCAAGACCAGCCTGACTAACATGGTGAAATCCTGTCTCTACTAAAAATACAAAATTAGCCGGGGCGTGGTGGCGCATGCCTGTAATCCCAGCTACTTGGGAGGCTGAGGCAGGAGAACCACTTGAACCCACGAGGTATAGGTTGCAGTGAGCTGAGATCTTGCCATTGCAAAAAAACTCCATCTTAAAAAACAAAACAAAAAAAGCCAGGCAGGTCACAAGATGTGAGATGCGAGGAGAACTCCCAGAGGTATTGCCATAGGCCAGCCTGAAAGCATGAGTTCTGGCCCACCTTGGCCTTGATCCTTTGACTCTGGGAAGTTCCTCCTCAGCGGGGGGCAGCAGGGCCGAGGATTCTTGCTCTCCCCACCTGTTTTCCCCTTTGTTCCCCTTCCCCATCCTTTCCCTGTCTTTGCCTTTGGCTAAACTGAGTCCAGTGTTGTGGCTGTGGGAAGGGAGACAGGAGGCCTGGAGCATTTGGGGTCATACCCGTGGTGCACAGAGAAATGTTTAATAGCAGGGAAAGCCTTGATTATACCATTTGCTGGCTTCTGTGCTGTAAATATTCTCAGTACGGCGGCTCTTGAGCTACCAACATGAAATCAGTCCCTGAGCGTGGGGTTGGAAGAGATGTGCATTAGCACACACCTTCACACGAGATTTTCACCATCGCAAGGAATAGTGGAGCCTCAGGAGCAGAGGGCAGAGTCTAGTGTGGATCAGTAATTAAGAAGTGATGAGCTCTGAGGACTTATTACCTTAGTTTTAAACGTTATCCTTTAGGCCACACACGGTGGCTCATGCCTGTAATCCCAGCACTTTGGGAGGCTGAGGCAGGTGGATCACTTGATGTCAGGAGGTCGAGACCAGCCTGGCCAACATGCTGAAACCCCATCTGCACAAAAAATACAAAAAATTAACCAGGTGTGGTGGCAGGTACCTGTAATCCCAGCTACTTGGGAGGCTGAAGCAAGAGAATCACTTGAACTCAGGAGGCAGAGATTGCAGTGAGCCAAGATCGCTCCATTGCACGCCAGCCGGGGTGACAGAGCGAGACTCTGTCTCTAAATAAATAAATAAATAAATATTAAAAATAAACATCATCATTTAGTTGTAAGTTTGTAAGTTGACTTTTTTTTTTAGGTCCCCCCTTTTTAAAAAAATTTTTTTTTTTTTTTTTTTTTTTTGAGACGGAGTTTCGCTGTTGTTACCCAGGCTGGAGTGCAATGGCGCGATCTCGGCTCACCGCAACCTCTGCCTCCTGGGTTCAGGCAATTCTCCTGCCTCAGCCTCCTGAGTAGCTGGGATTACAGGCACGCACCACCATGCCCAACTAATTTTTTGTATTTTTAGTAGATACGGGGTTTCACCATGTTGACCAGGATGGTCTCGATCTCTTGACCTCGTGATCCACCCGCCTCGGCCTCCCAAAGTGCTGGGATTACAGGCTTGAGCCACTGCGCCCGGCCCAAAAATTTTTTGTTTTTATTGAGATGGAGTTTCGCTCTTATTGCCCAGGCTGGAGTACAATGGCACAGTTTCAGCTCACTGTAGCCTCCACCTCCCAGGTTCAAGCAATTCTCCTGTCTCAGCCTTGGGAGTAGCTGGGATTACAAGCATGTGCTACCATGCCCAGCTAATTTTGTATTTTTAGTAGAGATGGGGTTTCTCCGTGTTGGTCAGGCTGGTCTCGAACTCCTGACTTCAGGTAATCCACCCACCTTGACCCTCCCAAAGTGCTAGGATTACAGGCATGAGCCACCGCGCCCAGCCATAAGTTGGCTTTTTTTTTTTGAGACAGGGTCTCACTTTGTCACCCAGGCTGAGTGCAGCTGCATGATCACAGCTCACTTTAACCTCAGTCTCCTGGGCTCAAGCAATCCTCCTGCCTCAGCCTCCTGAGTAGCTAGGACTACAGTTGTATACCACTGCACCTCACCATAATCTTGTGTCTACTTCTCTTCACTCAGTACCATCCTGTACCCCCAGGATTTAATATCAATGACTGTCTGGGTCAGCTGGGCGATGTGGCTCACACCTGTAATCCCAGCATTTGGGAGGTTGAGGCAGGCGGATCACGAGGTCAAGAGAGCAAGACCACCCTGGCCAAGAGGGTGAAACCCCATCTCTACTAAAAATACAAAACTTAGCTGGCTGTGGTGGCATGCACCTGTAGTCTCAGCTACTTGGGAGGCTGAGACAGGAGAATCGCTTGAACTCAGGAGGCGGTGGTTGCGGTGAGCCGAGATGGCGCCACCGCACTCAAGTCCACGCCCTCAGTGGGGGTTATTAACACGTCCACACACACTGACCACTACCAATTAGCCTCTGCTGCCACCTGCTGTTGTCTTGAACCCTCCACAATGGAGGGGCCTCCTGTTGCTCCTGCCTCCCCTGCAGGGCTGAATTTGCAAGATGACAGCAGTGAAGACCGCCCTGACTAGGGGGTCGGTGTCACAAAGACCAGTTTTGTTGTTGTTGTTGTTTTTTGGTTTTGGGTTTTTTTGTAGAGACAGGGTTTTGTGGTGTTGCCCAAGCTGGGCCTTTTATTTATTTGCTTATCTATTTTAAAAGTAACTGTGCCTGGAATAAGTTGATTTTTTTTTTTTTTCCCCCAGATGGAACCTTGCTCTGTCACCCAGTCTGGAGTGCTGCAGTGGCGAGATCTCGTCTCACTGCAGCCTCCGCCTCCTAGGCTTAAGTAATTCTCCTGCCTCAGCCTCCCGAGTAACTGGGATTACAGGCATGCGCCACTGCACCTGGCTCATTTTTTTTTTTAAGACGGGGGTTTCACCATGTTGGTCAGGCTGGTCTTGAACTCCCGACCTCAGGTGATCCGCCCGCCTTGGCCTCCAAAGTGCTTGGATTACAGGCATGAGCCACCATGCCCAGCCTGCACCTAGCTAATTTTTGTATTTTTAGTAGACATGGGGTTTCACCATGCTGGTCAGGCTGGTCTGCCCGCCTCAGCCTCCTAAAGTGCTGGGATTACAGGTGTAAGCCACTGCACCCCACCAACTTTTTAAAAAATATATATATATGTATATTTATTTAAGTAGAGATGGGGTCTTTCTGTGTTGCCCAGGCTGGTCTTGAAACCTGAATTGCTTGAACTGTGCTCAAGCAGTCTTCCTCTTGTGCTTCCTAAAGTGTTGGGATTACAGGCATGGCCACTGTACCCGGCCAGAAGTTGACTTTTAATAGTACCTTCCTTTAACAGCCAGCTCACAAAAGTCCTGCAGCGAAACAGTCTGTACCCCCAGGTCAGAGCTGGGTTGGACCCACCTGAATGCAAATCTTTTTGCTACCACTTAGGAAGCTGTGCAGCCCTGGGCAGTTCACTTAACGTCCCTGAGCCTTGGCGTTCTCATCTGTAAAATGGGCTTCCAGAAACACCCGGCACAGGCCAGGCAGTTTAGAATATGCTTAGTAAATGGTGATTATCATCATCATTTGTTCAGGGACATTATCGTGAAGGCAGAATGTTCTGGCACAAAGACATGTCTGTGGGGCAGGCACAGTGGACTTACTGTGTGAGGCAGGATGGTACAGGGCTGGGAGACAGAACTGCTTTTAGTCCTCAACAGTCCCCCCATTGTCTGACACTTGGGCGTGTTCCACAGTTTGGCTTATTAGTTACTGAAAAAAAAAAAAAATTAGTTACTGCCGCCCCAGACATCTTCTGGCCTGCAGCTTTTTGTCTCCAGTTGGAATTCTCTTCTTGTGATCACTTTCCCAAGGGGAGGCGGACTGGGTCAGAGGTGCAAATATTTCTGTGCCCTGCTGTGTTCCAGAGGGCCCTGCCAGTTTCTGACGCCAGGCGCATGAATTTTGCAGCAGGAACCACAACTGCTGTTTGTTAAGTGCTGTTCCGTTTACAAAGCACTTGCCCCTGTGATGCCCAGCGCCCCTTTGGATGTAGGCGCTCCTTGGATTCCGCTTTCACAGGAGTCCGGAGAAACTCGGTGGGTGGTTGAGTGGTTTGCCTGAAGGCCCACAGCTGTAGGGTGAAATCGCGAGCCTCTGGCAGGACTGACCGAGCCAGGCCCTGTTGACCTGCAGTAGCTCCACCCGTCCTCAAATACCTGCATGAGATAAGTGCCGCGGACATCCCATATTAGAGATGGGGAAACTGAGGCACCAAGCACTGAACTAGCCTGCCCAGAACGTTGGAGATGGGAGTCCAGACGCAGGCATCTGGCTGCTGCCTCTACCCTTAGCCACTGCACTGACTCGGAAGTGGGCTCTTTGGCTCATGTCTGCAGCTAATTTTGCCCTGGTGCCAATCTGCCTCCCTGGACTTCAGTTTCAGGGCCTGATGCTGTCCCTGCTGCCCTCCGGCTGACTGCGTCTCCATCTCCCTACAGGCACCGGGAGCCTGGCCGCTGCGGTGGAGACGGCCTCGGGACGCCAGGCCCTGGTGGTGGGCAAGCCCAGCCCCTACATGTTCGAGTGCATCACGGAGAACTTCAGCATGGATCCCGCACGCACGCTCATGGTGGGTGACCGCCTAGAGACCGACATCCTCTTCGGCCACCGCTGCGGCATGACCACCGTGCTCACGCTCACAGGAGTCTCCCGCCTAGAAGAGGCCCAGGCCTACCTGGCAGCTGGCCAGCACGACCTCGTGCCCCATTACTATGTGGAGAGCATCGCAGACTTGATGGAGGGGTTGGAGGACTGAGCCCACTGCACCTGCAGCCACAGGCCCACCCCTCCCCGCTCCCTGATCCCGTAGGTGGAGGCGATGGGTCACAAGCTGTGTCAGGCACCACCGGCTCCTTCACCCAGTTCTGCACCGGGGTGGGGCTCGGACCCAGGGAAGGTTTGAGAGCCCTTGCAGTCCCCTCCCAGCAGTGGCCGGGCACTCTTTGCTATCCCAGAAGCTGGTCTCCTACGGGTTCATCTTGGCCTGATCCAGCCAGGTGGCCTTATTTCCTGCCCTGTCACCTCTCCTCCTTGAAATCTGGGCTCTGGTGCCCCCTGAAGATTTCCTCCAGCCCTGAGCACTTAGTTTTCTCCTGCTTCCCTGGGGCTTCTAGAGCTCTCCCCGCCCCTCAGGTCCTGGCCCTTGGGTCCTTGTTAACCAGAGGTCTAGGTAACCACAACCCTTATTGTCCTGAGTGGACCAATCCAAAGGCAAAGTGACAGTGACTCATTGATGTTGAGTCCTGTAGGGTACCAATTTAGGCTCCTAAGTAATGTGACCCTTTCATGTCCTGGAGCCCGAGTGGACCAATCTGAAGCCTAAGTGACAGTGACCCTCACATGTCTTAGGTCCCTGGGTGGACCCATTGGGACCCCAAGTATTAGTGATCCAGTAAGTGATCTTTTAGATCCTCAACAGAACAATCCAGAAGTCTGCAAGACAGTGGCCCTTTGATAATCTGGGTGTGACAGGACCAGCTAGGGGTCCAGGTTTCAGTCAGTAAATAAGAGTGGTCCAGGCCGGGCGCGGTGGCTCACGCCTATAATCCCAGCACTTTGGGAGGCCGAGACGGGCGGATCACGAGGTCAAGAGATCGAGACCATCCTGGTCAACATGGTGAAACCCCGTCTCTACTAAAAATAAAAAAATTAGCTGGGCATGGTGGCGCACGCCTGTAGTCCCAGCTACTCGGGAGGCTGAGGCAGGAGAATTGCTGGAACCCAGGAGACGGAGGTTGCGGTGAGCCGAGATCGAGCCATTGCACTCCAGCCTGGGTGACAAGAGTGAAACTCCGTCTCAATAAATAAATAAATAAATAAATAAATAAATAAATAAATAAATAAATAAATAAATAGAATAAGAGTGGTCCACGTCCTGAAGACACCCCTCCTCCATAAAGAGTGATGCTCTGGGGCTTCTGTGGCCTAGCCCCGCCCTTTCCTGGTCATGGCACCCGTCCAGTGTTGATGGCCACAGCTCGGAATGGGGGCTTTTGTGTCCCCCCTCGAGGTCAGTGTTTGCATTACCACCCCTCTCCCATGCCCACTCCCGGCTACTTATTTATTACTGTGTGCCAGTGATGGTGGGTGGGGGCTGGGCCTTCCCCACCACCCCCACCCCTGTTGTGACCTGTCCTCCCGTACTTAATAAAGTGCGAGTGGGAGTGTTCACGTGTTCGAGTCTGTGCTTGGGGAGGGAGGCAGACCCCCTGTCGGAACCTGCTCTCCCTGGAGCTGGCCCACCACATTCTTCCCTGCATGAAATGACCCATTCCCATTCCACAGTGTCTTCCGTGTATGGTGATACCTTGAGTCAAGAGTGCTTTATATGTTGCTGAGTCTTTGTATACTGACTGACTGCAGTGCTTTGGAAAACCTGGCAGGTTTGAATTATTCCTTTACAACAGGAAATTGGGGGTCAGAAGTGTGATGTTAACTTACCGAAGGTGCACAGCTGGACAGTGCTCGCCTTATGCGGGATTTGAACATGGGTTGGCTGACTGTAGGACGCCGGAGACACTGAGAGGGAGACGGGAAGATGGAAGATGGAAGAGGAGGTCTCAAACCTCAGGAAGCCCAGGGGAGATGCTCCTTTTTTTTTTCTTTTTTTTTTTTTTTTTTTTTTTTTTTGAGAATTTTTAGTAGAGACAGGGTTTCACCATGTTGGCCAGGCTGGACTCAAACTCCTGACTCATGATCCACCTGCCTTGGCCTCCCAAAGTGCTGGGAGTACAGGTGTGAGCCACCACGTCGGGCGCTCTTTGTTTTTCTTTTTTTTGAGACGGAGCAAGAGAGTACAGTGGTGCGATCTTGGCTCACTGTAACCTCCACCTCCGGGTTCAAGTGATTCTCCTGTCTCAGCCTCCCGAGTAGCTGGGATGACAGGCACCTGCCATCACACCTGGTTAATTTTTGTATTTTGAGTAGAGGTGGGGTTTCACCATGTTGACCAGGCTAGTCTCAAACTCCTGACCTCAAGTGTTTGGCCTCCCAAAGTGCTGGGATTACAGCGGTGACCCACTGTCCTTGGCCTCTGAGCACTAAGTCCTAATGAGTGTAAAGCTTGAGCGTGAACCAATCACAGTAATTTGAGTCTTCGGGGTCAGTGATTGGCTACACTTCTGACCAATGAAACATGAAGGGAGTTCTGGTAATGTTTGCCTCACTTGTAAAGGACATAGAGGAAGGAGTCACTCTTGGCTTTGGGTGTGGTGCTGGGAGCGGTTGCAGCCATTCTGTGATCAGGAGGTCTGGCCGAGCATTTACAGGTGACCCTGCTGCAGGTAGCAGAGCAGAAAGACTGGAAGAACTTGTTGGGTTTGTTTTTCCCCAACTTGTAATTTAGAAAAGTTTAAAATTAATAGAAAAGGTGCAAGGATAACGCAATGAATACCCCTACATCCTTCACCTAAATTTACCAGTTGTAAGTATTTGCCCAGTTTGCTTAATTGCTTTATATATGTTTACCTTTTGTTACTGTTTTAGAGATGGTCTC